CGGCAGGCGGGCACGGCAGAGGAAAGATGTCCCGGGGCCGACGCCCCCCAAACTCGTGGACGTCCTGAGCGATGGTGGGCGCGCCGCGCGGACCCTGACGGACGGGTTCTGACCGCGCCTTGGCCCCCCCCCTCCGAAGCCAAGGCAAAATGAGTCTCTGCCATTTTTGCGCGTGGACTCCCGCTCCTCACGGGCCAGGCGCAGGCCCTCGTGCAACTTCGCTTCCTTCTCAACGTCACCGCGCAGGCGCTCGAATCAGGTCGGGCGAGACCATCGCCGAAGACGTAGATCGGGAGACCCCCGAGAACGCGGCCTGCTCCTCTAGACTCATCATGGCTCCAACGCCCTTGCTCCCGGCGCCCTTAGCCTTGTCCCAGTGAGCGAACTCAGTGGCCTGGAGCCTCCTGAATTTCATCTCGGTGCTGATCAAGTTCGCGCCATCCAGGAGGACCTGGCACGTGGCTGCCTTGATCTGCCGGCACAACTAATAGTGCTCTTGGACGCCCCAGTCGGTGGCACCCAGCTTGCAGATCTGGCGGAAGTGCTCGTGGTGGCCCTCGATGCCGAGGCCCTCGCGCTGCGGGTAGTTCATGCGCCATCCAGCGGCCCGCGGCCCAGGCAGCGCCACGTCCGATCCCAAATCCTCCTATCCTCCTGGCGCGTCATCTCCACCATCTTGTGCCGCGGCACGTCTCGACGGCCCTGCGCATCGCGAACGATCGGCAGGATCCTCGCGTCCGCGACGACCGCCTTGCGCAAGAATGACTCCAGCGCTGCAGGCGGCACCAGCTCGACGAAAAGCCCCTGGCCGTCGGGCAGCACGTAAATGCCCCTGTCATGGATGCGGGCCGCCGTCGGAACGTGGCCAGGCACCTCGTCGCCGACACGGTAGCCACCCTCGCAAACCGCGGCGCGCCACACGCCCGGGTCGCCAGCGGCGGGGCCGCCTCCAGAGGGCACGGCGCCCCTCAGCAAGCCGCCCAAGGCGGGACCAGCTGGAGCCACAGGCGCCACCGCGCGGCCGCCCCCAGGCGTAACCAGCGGCCGCAGGTTGGCGAGCAAGCCCAAGTTTCCAACTGCCTGAGCCCGACGACGGCACTCGCCTATCGCCACCTGCTCGGCCTCCAGCGCGTCCGTGGGCTCGGCGCGGAAACTGTACACGCGGTTGGCCGCGATCCCCGGCGGCGGAGGATCGAAGCTGCCGGACCTCGCCGCCCGCACATTTGGATTGTTAGCGAGGGCGACGATGTACAGATCACCGTCCGCCGTATAGATGACGTGGTCAGCTTCCGACAACGCCACCCAGCCCAAATTGAACTGCTGGTGCCAGACAACCTCGCCTGCGTAAAAGACGTACACCCGTCGTGTCGTCGCGACTGCCGCCATCGTCCAGACCAGCGAAGCCACGGCTGCGAGGGCGGGCGTCCCTCCTGAGCGCCGCGCAACAGCACCCGAAGCAGGCCGCCGCGAACACGAAGCCGACCGCGCCGCCCACAAGCGCCGAGGCCAGCGCACGCGCGTCGATCGCCGCGTCGGCGACCACGCTGCCAGCCGCGCTCGCAGGGGCGGCCTTTGGCGCGGCCGAGCCAGGCGAGGGCTCAGACGCCGGTAGGGCACGGAGGGCAAGATGGAACCTGCGGGCACCTGGTCAGGTAGGAGACTGCCCCAGTCAGGGCGTGGTTGGTGAGCCTCTCCCACGTAACTCAAGACTTGAGCATCTCAAACGGCGGCGGCCCAAAGAGAGCATCGGAAACATGTGAAAGCACGACAGTGATCAGCATCCTCATAATCTGCATCCCCATCATCATCATCATCATCATCATCATCATCATCATCATCATCATCATCATCATCATCATCTGCATCACCAGCGTAATCATCATAAGCATCATCCGCATCACCATCACCATCATCATCATCAGTATGATCCTCATCATCAATATCCTCATCATCACCATGATCATCATCACCACCAACACAATTAGCAGCATCATCAGCAACATCATCGTAACCACCATTATCATCACCATCATCATCATCATCATCATCATCATCATCATCATCATCCTCATCCTCATCCTCATCATCATCATCATCATCATCATCATCATCATTTCCTACCTCCTTACAGCTTTTCCAAGCCTGGGGGTACGAGGTGGCCCATGTGACGACAATCATCGTCCGCCTCCTAATCCGCTGCATGCTCCTGGTCCTCGTACTCGTCTTGGTCATCATCATCATCATCATCATCACCACCACCAACACTACCAACGCAACAACCATTGTCCTCCCTAGCACCCCCATCACCAGCACCACCATCACAACCATCATGAACACGACCATCAGAATGATTCCCACCAGCAGCATCACCGTCACCCATACCAACACCACCACCACCACCAGCACCGTCACAGCATCATCGTCGCAATACTTTCCACCCCCATCATCAGTACCACTATCATCATCAGCAACCTCAGCGTCAGCAGCATCAGCATCACCACCATCATCATCATCATCAACCTTGCTTCCATCATCCTGATAAGTTTCTCATCCTGATCACGGCTGTCCCAAATATGGGGGTGCGAGGTATCACACACTATTGATCCAACTCCTCGGCCACGTCGTCCTCATCCTCACCGCCATCATACTCCTCAACTGAATCATCGTCGTCTTCAGCATCATCATCATCAGCATCATCATCCTCATCAACATCGCGATCCCCGTGGCCATCTTCATCGTCATGGTCACAATCTTCATCACGGCTCCCCAAAACCTCGAGATTCGAGGTGAAACGCGTAGGGGCCATCCTCTCCCTCCTCATCCTCCTCCTACTGTCCCTCCTGCTCCTCGTCATCATCATCATCATCATCATCATCATCATCATCACCACCGCCAAGTTGAAAGTCCCGAGCGAAAGCGCGATTCCTGAATACAAGGAAATGCAACACGAGAGCGCGGTTCCTTGCCAAATCGCAAGAACATCTCCAGCGAGAGCGCGAGTCCTTGGTAAATCGCGAGGGAGTCCCGAGCGAGCGCGCGATTCCTAAGTAAATAGGGAGGACGTCTCGAATGAGAGCGCGATTGTTAAATACATCGCGCGAAATCTCGAGCGAGAGCGCGATCCCTGTGAAAATCGCGACGAAGTCTCAAACGAAAGCGCGATTCTTGACGAAATCGGGAGGAAGTCTCGAACGAGAGCGCTCAAGCGAACGCGCGACTCTTAAGTAAATCAAGAGGACGTTTCGAGCGAGAGCGGGATCCCGAGGTAAATCGCGAGGACATCTCTAGCGACAATGCAATTCCGCATTACAGATGTGGCGAGCCTGGGGCGAGAGCGCGAGTCCTTAATACATCGCGGGGGGGTCTCGAGCGAGAGAGTCCTAGGTGCGAGAGCGCGGTCCGTGCAAATCGGAAGGAATTGAAAGCGAGAGCGCGATTCTTGAATACATCGCGGACGGTCTCGAGCGAGACGCTCGACCGAGAGCGCGATTCCTAAATACATCGGGAGGAGGTTTGTAGCGAGAGCGCGGCCCCTGTGTAAATCGCAAGGAAGTCTCTAGCGAGAGTGCGAGTCCTGAGTAAATCACGAGAAGGTCTCGAGCGAGAGCCCTCGGCGTTGCTGTTGTTGTTGTTTGTGGTGGTGGTGGTGGTGGTGGTGGTGGTGGTGGTGGTGGTGGTGTTCTTGTTGATGATGGTATTGGTGATGATGGGGGGAGCGGACCGTGCGGCGTTTGCCCTCCCTGTTCAAACACAGCCACAGCAACAACAAACAACACCACCACCAACAACACAACTTTTGAGACTGTTCGCTCGTATCTGCTCGTGTGCCATGCAACACGTCGTAGATCCCAAACTCACGATACCCGACCTCTTCATATTCGATCGTGCCCTCCCTAGGGGAATCTCTTACCTGTGGCGAGTAGTTCGTGCAGCCCCTGAGCTAGGGGAAGAAAGGACGGATGGAAGGAAGGCACAAGGTGCAGGCGGGTTGCTGAAGCGTGCGTCCTGCATGAATCGCGAGGAGGCCTCAAACGATAACACGATTCCCAAACAAATCGTCAGGAATTCTGCAGCGAGAACGAGATTTCTGTATACACTGTGAGGAACGCGTGGGGAATTATCGGGCGGGAATCGTTGTTGTAGTTCGGGGGCCAGGGGCCTAGTTTGGTGACACCTCACTGTCTCTTGTTAAAGTCAGGGTGCGAGTCCTGGGCGAAAGCCTTAATAGAAAAATGCAACGGTTACTGGGTAGGGGGGACCCACCATAAGTATTTTTGAAACATGAAAGTTCAACAACAAAGACGGCACTGCACCTCGTACCCCGACGCACGGGTGCCGAAGTCAACGGTGGTCCCTTTTGTGGGCGACCAATGTCCTAGACCCCCCGTGGTCGGCAATTCCTCGCCAGCAACCAGCAACCCAGCAACCCGACTCGCCCCACAAGGTGGCCACCTGCCAATGCTGTGGAGTTCACCAACAGGACCCCGTGGACGTGCACTCTCGATGAAACATGTGCGCGCCAGCGAAGCGCGGTCCCTCCTGTGGTCCCTGGGCGATCCTCACAGAGCTCGATACGGCTCTAGTAGGATCCCTAAACAGCTCGATACAGCTCTATTATAGAACTTGTATAGAGATCCTACAGGGCTTCATCCAGCTCGAATAGGATCCATACAGGGCTGGATCTGGCTCTAATTAGGATCTCTACAGAATCGGATACAGATCGGAAAAACAAAGGTTCGAGACCTCCGACCCACAATCCAGGCACGGTGGTGGGATGGGCCGGTGACCATTAGAGAAACCAGCTTCAGCCATACACACACAAACACACACACACTCATATATATAATGTATATATATGTATATATAGATGTATACATATACATATGTATATATATATATATATATATATATATATGTGTGTATGTGTATGTATATAAATATATATATATATATATATGTGGGCGTGTGTGTGTGTGTGAAAAGTTGGTATGCCCTCGCTACCCAAACCCCGCGGCGATCCCAGCTGAAAATGCCGACACCGCTACTCCCCCGTCCTGCCCCAGGGCGCGTTCTGACCAGGAGCACGAGGCGTAGCCAGCCGTGGCGAGGAAGTCCTCCCGAGAAGCCCGAACAGACGAGACGAAGGCAAAAGCAGCGGTACGTCGGCGTTTTTTGTTTGTTTACTCCTCCAGCGACCTGCGCCGGGTCGCCTGCGGCAGCCCTGCCGGGCAGACACCGCACGGTCTGCAAGTGCCTTGAGCAGGGAGCGACCGTCCCAGCATCCGTATAGGTTTAATTAGGTCGGGCATGTCCCCACACAGACCGATTTAGGACAAAAACCAAAATCGTCCCCGACTATTTTTTGCCTATTTTTGAACATTCCTCCTGTAGAGGGGCAGGCCCGACTTAAGTACAGGCCTACCACGAAAAGATTGCAAAACACATGGCGATCGTTTTCTTATTCATTGTTTTGCTGATCGGCGCGGGCCCTCGCCTCCCGCAGTCCCCACATGGAGTAGATATGGGCTGTTTCAGCCGCCTGTCTTGAGCAAGTGGGGTCTCCCCCACAGGGCGCACTGCTGCAAACGGTCCCTCCGACCAACGTCGAAACGCCGAATAAGGAAAAGAGCACATGTTCTGAAGATGGAACAACGTTCTTAGAACACGAAGCCGCTGTATGAAAGCAAGACGGCCTCGGCCAGAAAGCATCTCGTGGAAACCGCGCAAACATGTTCGTAGAACAACCTCTGGTGGGCCTATATTCGGGGGCGGCACAGAGGGGGGTGTCCAAGAGGGGGGGGTGCCAATCATGACCGGCGGCACGTGCGCGGCCCAGCGGGGGGGCCAGGAACGTAACGAAACAAGAAGAGGCGCCATGAAATCTGGGGAAATCTCATGGCCCCCGCCATGATTTCCCCCCCCCTCCTAGTCATCACCCCCCTCTTTTCCGTCCCCGGAGGGGGAGGAGGAGGAGGAGGAGGAGGAGGAGGAGGAGGAGGACGAGGAGGAGGAGGAGGAGGAGGGAGGAGGAGGGAGGAGGAGGGAGAAGGAGGAGGAAGCCAGGACGCTTCGCCACTGCTGGAGTGCCGGTGGCGTGCTGCACCGCCACGCTCACCTGCCGCTCGACGCCCCCCGGCCGCTCCGAGGCCCCGCGCTCCTGCGAGGGGCCATCGGCCTGCGCATCCCTGCCCTGTGCGATCCCCAGACCACCTGGCGTCTCGGCAAAAATCGGGACGTTTGCTGTTCAAAGTTTTCGGCATCGGGAGCGGCAAAGAGGGGGGCGTCAAAGAAGGGGGGGGGCGCAAATCATGACCGGCGGCATGTGCGCGGCCCAGCGGGCGGGCCAGGGACGTAATGAAATAAGAAGAGGCGCCATGAGATCTGGGGAAATATCATGGCCCACGCCATGATATCCACCCCCCCCTAGTCATCACCCCCCTCTTTTCCGCCCCCGAATCTGGCGTCTCGGCAAAAATCGAGCCTTGGGGGGCGGAAAGATACGGATACGTGTCGTCCCCGGACCTCTCTTGGGGTGCGTTCTGGCCAGAATTTCGAGGCGAATCCAGCGGTGACAACGAGGATTCCCCAGGAGGACCAGGAAAGGCTCATCCCTCCCCTGTGCGATCCCCAGACCATCTTAGGCGGCGAGCCAGGGGGGAGAAAGAGAAGGGGCGTACCTTCTCAGAAGGTTCAGAAGTCCCCCGGGCTTCTGAGACGTTTTCTGAGCCTTCCCCGAAGACAGACAGATCTTCTCAGAAGGCGCGAGGGCTTCTGAGAAGTCCCGCCGCCTTCTGAGAAGGCCTCCTCCTTCTCAATTCCCCCCCTCGCCCGCCGCCGACATCTGGCGTCTCGGCAAAAATCGAGACGTTTGCTGTTCATAGTTTTCGGCATCTCGGGGCCCTTTACCGGGCATCGGGAGCGCCAACAAACGACTCGGGACGAACAACCGGTCCGGGGCGCCCAAATAGCCTCCAGACGGCCCAAAACGTTTTCAAGACGCCCCACGAATACCCGCTCGGCGTGTGGAAGACGCGTCGTCCTCGGCGCGCCACCCTTAGCGAAAATGACGAAGCCGCCGCCGCCGCCGCCACCGCCGCCGCCGCCGCCGCCGCCGCCGTCGTCGTCGTCGTCGCCGTCGTCGTCGTCGTCGTCGTCGTCGTCGTCGTCGCCGTCGTCGTCGTCGTCGCCGTCGTCGTCGTCGTCGTGGTCGTCGTCATCGTCCTCCACCACCTCCTCCTCCTCCTCGCGTCTTCCTCCTCCTCCTCCTCCTCGCGCATTCCTCCTCCTCCTCCTCCTCCTCCTCCTCTTCCTCCTCTTCCTCCTCCTCCTCCTCCTCCTCCTCCTCCTCCTCCTCGTGCTTGAATACCCCCGGCTGCCACCTTCATCGTGGGTGTCGTTTTCCAGGGTCGGCGGCACCGGCCGTACGGCCTTTACAATATTGAACTGTAAGGCATGGCGGCATTTCAAACACGCCTGATTAGGCGACGGGCAAATGCAATGCTGAATGTATCGTTCTGGATGTACTGTGTCGAGGGCTGTGCTGTGCTACGCCGTGCTGAACTGCCAAGTGCCATGCCGCGACTGTGCTCTATATAATGTTGTGGATCGAGTCCTCCCTGGTTTCCGAATCCTGGCCGAACTGATCTGGATCTTAAGCCCGAGCTGACTCAGCCTATGGTAGCTGCCCCAGAACTAATCGACAGAGGAAACATGCCAGGAGGACGCGCCGCGGAACGTCCCAAGGGACGCGCCAGGCGACGTGCCAGGGGACGTGCCATGGGCACGCACCGCGGGACGTGCCAAGGGGACGCGCTACGGAACGTGCCCCTGGACGTGCACCGCGCGACGTGCCAGGGGGACTCGCCACGGGACGCTCCGCGGAACGTGCCAGGCAACATGCCAGGTTCCAATGCTAAGGGTGTCGATATTGATGTACCGTGCTGAGGGCTGTGCTGTGCCTGGGCGACCTGGACACGTGAAAACACGCGTTTCGCTCACAACGTCCTCGGCACATCCTCGTGCTAGACATGCGCCGGGGCAGCCTGGACACGTGCAAACAAGCGTCACGATCGAAACTTCCTCGACACATCCTCATGCTAGACATCCGCCTGGGCGACGATGGCGCGTGAAAACAAGCCTCTCGCTCGATACATCCCCAACAAATCCTCACGCTGGACATCTGTCTGGGCAACCTGGAGGAGTGAAACCAAGCGTCTCGCTCGATAGTACCTCAAGACCTGGGCACGTGAAAACAAACATTTTACTTCAGCGATCCTCGGAACTCTGGCCCCCAGGAGAAAACAATCGATAACACAGAACAAGCGCCTCACTTGAGACATCGTCTACACCTTTTGTTGATAAAACAGCGTTTCGCTCGAGAGGTCTTCAACAATAATTCCGCTGGCCTCCATCAAACTCGTCATCAGTCGCGATAGAATCCCGCCGGACTCGTTCAAGTCGAAACCGGGGGTAACAATACTTAAAGAGAACCCTGGGCCAGGGCCTTTTCCAGGAAGTATGCCTAGCCCGGCGAAGCCACTGAGGAGGCGAAGAGGAGGGAGGGAGGTTGCGGCGATCCTGCTGCTGTTCCTGCCCCCCTTGCAATGTGGGCGGTTTCAGCGCACCGCTGAATCCAGAACTGGCCTCGATGGCGCAGAATCAGACCCCGCGGGTGGCCCACGGGCATGCGTCGCTCGAGTTCGAGGTGGTGGCAGAGGGCCCGCCGCCGATCCTTTTGCGCAGGCTTGTGTGGTCCCCAGCGTGCCCTAGTGGACCCTGACAAGAAGAGCTCCAAAGCGGCTCTAAAAGGCAAGCGCCCAAACAGACCTCTCAAGCTGGGCCCCTGAAAGTCCCCGGGGGGGCAACGGAAAGGGGCCCAGCAGAGAGGGGCCCAGGGGCCCAGCAGAGAGGGGCCCAGCAGAGAGGGGCCAAAATTGGGCCCGATGTGGGCCGTCCTGTCGTTGTCTCGCCGATTGCCTCCGAACCTTCGGGCTGAATGAGCTCGAAACGCGGACCTTCTGAGAGCGGCCGTGAGCGTTCTGAAGACCAGGCGCTCGAAGATTCAGGCGGCTGAATTTCCTCCAGGGTCGTTCTGTCGCTGGCCCCTCGCAGGTCCTGAGCTTCCTGCCAGGGGCCGGAAAAGGTCCACTTGGATAGGCCCCCTTGCGTAGGTTTTTTTCTTTCGGGCTGACGGATTTTTTCTTTTCACTCTATCTCTCTCTGTCTCTTTCCCCCTCAGTGGCGTGCGATCCTCCTCCTCCTCCTCCTCCTCCTCCTCCTCTTCAGCCGTTCCGGGCCCGAGCGGCCCCTCCCTGCGCGGGCTGGCCTGGGCGTTCCCGACGCGAACTTCGGAGCAGCGTTGCATCGGGGAGCCATCAAGAACCACGGGCCATCAAGAAGCAACATCTAGCCGTGAATAGGCTCCGGCAGAGGGGCCAAGATGTCATCCCTTCCCCTCGTCCTCTCATTTCACGCGCCCCCTCCCTCCTCCTCCTCCTCCTCCTCCTCTTCCTCCTCCTCCTCCTCCTCCTCCTCTTCCGCCTCCTCCTCCTCCTCCTCCTCCGCCTCCGCCTCCGCCTCCGCCTCCGCCTCCGCCTCCGCCTCCCTCCTCCTCCTCCTCCTCCTCCTCCCTCCTCCTCCTCCTCTCCCCCTCCCCCTCCTCCTCCTCCTCCTCCTCCTCCTCCTCCTCCTCCTCCTCCTCCTCCTCCTCCTCCGGCATCTTTTTCCAGTTATATTGATGACACGACGATTGGCCTGCATCACACCAATGCGCAGCGTGTCGCCCAGCTTGCCGTTCAGGCTGGGCGTGACTTTCAGCAGGTGGCCAAGAGGCTGGGGTCTCGTATCAATGACAAATTTGCCATCGTTGCTTCCAGTGCTGCTATTGGGCGAGAAGTTGCAATGCAGTTGAACGTGTCCGAGGATGCGGCAGTCAGGCGCGTTGTCTCCTACCTAGGCGTCGACTACTCTGCTGGTCGTGTTCGTCAGGCCCCAGGAGCTCGCGCCAAGCAGAGGGCTCGTCTGGCTCGGCACAAGAGGCGGATGCGCAAGATATCCAAGTACAAGAAGGCGATCCCTGTAAAGAAGGACCTTCGCCTTGGCAGGATCTACCGCGCTGGTGCGCGCCCTGCATGCACGTATGGAGTTGAAGTCAACGGCCTGACTGATGCAGAGCTTGGCGACCTTCGCCGTGCGTATGGGCGACAGGTCAAACCTTACCATGGGGGTACGTCAGCCACAACCAAGTTGGCGCTGGATGGGGACCCCGCCATCCGACAGGCTATCGCGCCAGTCATTCAGTACTGTCGCATGCTGTGGGAAGCTACTACCCGTCCTGAGCGTGCGCTTGTATCGCAGAAAGATCTCTTGCTGTGGTGGGATGCTGCTGTTACGTTCTTGGGCCGCCCTGTCAGCTGGGCTAAGTCACGTGGGCCGCTGGAGCGAGCGGCTCTTTGTCTTGAGCGCGTCGGCTGGACGACGCACAGTGGAGCCCTCTGGCGTGATCATCTGGACCAAGAGGTGCGAGTTGACCAGCTCTCTCCAGGCGTGGTGGAGGACCTGCTCAGCGCGGCGATGCAGCGGATGCTTGAATGTCAACTAGCCGACAAATGGGAGCTGCCTGCGGGAGTTCGTGTCACGTTCGACCTCATTCAGGGCGCGGTCCGCGCGCGCACGGCCAAGTGCACTAAGTATCAGAAGTTCCTCATTCGTACTTGTGCATGTGAGGGTTTGTGGACACGACGGCTGGGCCTTGGCGCTGCTGGATCCCAGCGGCAATCGGCCGCTCCGTGTGATGTACGGTGCAGTCCCTGGCTCCCTGCCGCAGCGTTCAGCCATGGCGGAGCACTTGGCGCTGGCATATGTCGGGCAAGTGGTGGATAGACCGACAGATGTGTTCGCTGACTACATGGCTGCTGTGATTGAGGCCACCAAGAGCCCTGAACAGCAGTTGCGGCCTGGTGCGCGATACGGGTGTGTCAAGTTTTTTGGTCAGCAGATGCCTGGATTTCATCACATTCGGTCAGTCTCGCATGTAAAGGCACATCGATCTGCTGACCAGTATGCAGAGTTGTCTGATGTTGATAAGCGTCTCACCGACGCCCACGTTTTTTGCCGACGCCTACGCCAACCGCGCGGTCCAGCTGCACGAGTCCGTGCCGCATGAGCTTGACGTGCAGCTGGAGACAGGGCTGCGCATTGCGAATGGCTTTGTTTCTTTGGCTGCCGCCGTGCTGCCGCTCTTTGACAGAGAGGAGCGTTGGGCAAGGCTGACGGTGGCACGGCGCGCTGCACATGTTCAGCGCACTCGTTGGCACGACTGGCGTCGCACGGTGATTGGCGAGCAATGCAGTAAGTGTTTGTGTATAGCGCATGACACGCATGATAAGCCCTTGTCAGGTTGTAGAGGCATGCCTAAGTATCTGAACAGTTTTGTGCGTACCCCTCTCGGTCACACGCTCGTTGCTGTGAATCAGGGGGGAAGTCCCCTGCGGACCCAGGTTGCTGCCGCCCAGTGCACGTGTGTACTAAGTGCGGGGCCTGGGCTCAGCAGTCCAGGAGGAACAAATTAAGACGACCTTGCGAACCCCCCACCAGGAAGGGGCTCGAGGTCCTTGTGAATTTGCGTGACGGAGTTGGCCCCCACACGGGGCTTGCTCGCCAGGTGGACGCTGCCCTCCCAGCTCTGCAGTCCGATTCTTGTGCTGTGAGGCGTCCTGAGCTTGAGACCACACGCGATTCCCGAGCTCCTGTGTCCGAGGGCCCCCCGACCTACGAGTCCAGGATGGCTGCCCTCGCCGAGAGAATTCGTCTGAAAGAGCAAGCTGCCTCAGGTTAATTTGTTTCAGGCCTGGCAAAGTCGCCGAAGGTTGTGCAATGTGTTGCACGCCTCCTCCTCCTCCTCCTCCTCCTCGTCCTCATCCTCCTCCTGGCGAGCACCGGCGTCGCTGCGCAGCGCGCCAGCGACAAAGCGCAGGGGCCTGACGCCTTCATCCATCAGCTAAATTGCTGAAGTCAGCGCGCGTGGGAAGAACGAGCAGCGGCGGCAGATCTGGCCCGGCTCCGAGAGCGGGTGGGAGTAGAGAAACAGCCCGACGTGCTCAGCTAGAACGCCGAGAGAGCGTGCGGGAACAACGGGCAGCGGCAGCAGGCGTTGGTTAGACTCCGAGACACGGGGACGAAGCTAGAGCCTGACGTCCTTTGATATAGCGTTGAAGCCAGCGCGCGCGAGAAGGGCGAGCAGTAGCAGCAGGCTCTGGCCGGAACGCGGGATGCTAGAGGCGGGCTGCGAGAAACGTGCGGGGGGGGGCACGATCAGCTACAGTGCTGGGAACAAGCCGCGCGAGAAAGGGAGCGAGCAGTGGCAGCGGACGCTGGCACCGAGCAAAAGGTGCGGGTGGGCGATCAGCTACAACGTTGGGAGCGGGCAGTGGCAGCAGACGCTGGTGCTGAGAGAAACGGGCGGGCATGCCACGATCAGCTACAACGTTGGGAGCAGCCCGCGCGAGAAAGGGCGAGCGCCCTGGCAGCGGACGCAGGCGCTGAGAAAACGTGCGGGCGCGCGATAAGCTACAGGGTTGGGGGCAGTCCGCGCGAGAAAGGGCGAGCGCTCTGGCAGCAGACGCTGGTGCTGAGCGAAACGCGCGGGTGGGCCACGATCAGCTACAACGCTGAGAGCAGTCCGCGCGAGAATGGGCGAGCGCAGTGGCAGCGGGCGCTGGTGCTGAGCAAAACGCACGGGTGGGCCACGATCAGCCACAATGCTGAGAGCAGTCCGCGCGAGAAAGGGCGAGCGCAGTGGCAGCGGGCGCTGGTGCTGAGCAAAACGCGCGGGTGGGCCACGATCAGCTACAACGCTGAGAGCAGTCCGCGCGAGAAAGGGCGAGCGCAGTGGCAGCGGGCGCTGGTGCTGAGCGAAACGCGCGGGTGGGCCACGATCAGCCACAATGCCGGGAGCAGTCCGTGCGAGAAAGGGCGAGCGCAGTGGCAGCGGGCGCTGGTGCTGAGCGAAACGCGCGGGTGGGCCACGATCAGCCACAATGCCGGGAGCAGTCCGCGCGAGAAAGGGCGAGCGAGGTGGCAGCGGGCGCTGGTGCTGAGCGAAACGTGTGGGCGGGCCACGATCAGCTACAACGCTGGGAGCAGTCCGTGCAAGAAGGGGGGCGCGCAGTGGCCGCGGCTGAAGGGAACGCACCCCGCAGACCTTGGCGCTGCGAGAAAACGGCTGCGAGAAGTCGGAGGCGATGACAGAGCACGACGGCATCTAACTAACTCCGCCAGGAACAATCGTCACGAAAGTACAGGGGCGCACATCACCAACCACAATGCTGGGATCAACTCGTGCGCGGAAGGCTGGGGAGCAATCGTGCGAGGTAGGGTTGCGCTTTACCGGGAGCTGGTCGGAAGCCTCTTGCAAGAACGAGGGGCGAAGCTGGAGCCCAATATCATGGAGAGCACCAAAGCCAGCCTCTTGCGACAAGTGGGGGGAGAAGCTGGAACTTCATTTTTGACCAAAGCCGACCTCCATCGCCCAGGGACGGCCTGGGGTGACTGAGGTTCCCATCGTCGCCACGGTGCGTGCCTTGCAACTGCGAAGATCAGGCCTGCAACATCCTGCAACCTCCTCCTCCTTCTCCTCCTCCTCCTTCTCCTCCTCCCCCTCCTTCTCCTCCTCCTCCTCCTCCTCCTCCCCCTTTTTCTTTTCCTCCTCCTCCTCCTCCTCCTTCTCCTCCTCCTCCTCCGCCGCTGCGAGCTCCTGTGGCCCCTTTTCCTTTTCCTCCTCCTCCTCCTCCTCCTCCTCCTCCTCCTCCTCCTCCTCCCCCTCCTCCTCCCCCTCCTCCTCCTCCCCCTCCTCGTCCTCCTCCGCCGCCGCTGACAGCTCCTGTGGCCCACGCCGCGGGCCGACGCCTTCGGAGCGGGTGCCGCCGGGCACCGGCAGGCCGGGGCCTCCGCGCCGCTCGCCGGGAGCGCCGCCAGCCTCGCGCCTTTCGGGGGTCTCCTCCTGCTCCTCCTCCTCCTCCTCCTCCTCCTCCTCCTCCTCCCTCCTCCTCCCTCCTCCTCCTCTCCCTCCTCCCTCCTCCCTCCTCCCTCCTCCCTCCTCCCTCCTCCCTCCTCCCTCCTCCCTCCTTCCTCCTTCCTCCTTCCTCCTCCTCCTCCTCCTCAAGTCGAAACCTGTAGTAAAGATGGATCACTTTCCCAAGGGTACCCTCGCCTCTTGACATCTTCGGTCTCTCCCAAACCACTTTCGATAGCTGACTCCGCTCGTCTTGCTTCGACATGGGAGTCCAAAAACTTGAACCCTTATCGTGCAACTTGAATGCCGATTTTGTCTGTGCGCAATCCTTTCCGTTCTCATGCCGTTCACGCTTCCCCTCGTGCTGTCCTCGTTTCGCATTAGCTGGGGAACGAAGTCGAAACGAGAACGGACCACGACATCGCCAGAACACTGCTTGGCTCGCGCAGTGGCCCCACAACCGCGTGTTGACAGACTGCGCGGTGACATCGAAACCACCCCAGGACGCCGTCCTGGGGGCCCGAAGGCCCCCGTCGCCCGAGAGGGCCCCGAAGAAGAACCCGAGCCCCAGAACCGCGCGGTGACCCCGAAGCCTCCCTGACCCACCATACCGCAGGCATGCGGCGCTCCACTGTTTCGCTGCGCGGGCCTATGGAGGTCTGGACCACTCTTCTGGAGCACGACCTTCGGCCCGAACGGTGTTCTGCGGGTCCCGAGGCCCGTCGGGGGACCCTGGAGGCCGACCGCAGAGCAAAACCGCCCGCTACAACGTTTTCGGAACCTCTGGGGAAACCAAAAGGCTTCCGATACTTCGGGAGCGGCCAAGAGGGGGGTGTCCAAGAGGGGGGGGTGCAAATCATGACCGGCGGCATGTGCGCGGCCCAGCGGGGGGGCCAGGGACGTCATGAAACAAGAAGAGGCGCCATGAAATCTGGGGAGGTATCATGGCCCCCGCCATGATATCCCCCCCCCCCCTAGTCATCACCCCCCTCTTTTCCGCCCCCGAATACTGCCAGGCCCCAGACGTTTCCCGGGGCGCGCGTTCTGACCAGCACCTCGACGCAAAGCCGGTCGCGGCAACGAGGGCGTCCCAGGAAGACCGAACAAGGCACAGACGAGGCGAGGTCAGCAGCACATGTACTCCAGATTTCGTAAGAAAGGGAGGGGGGTCTCATTTCGGGGGGGGGTCTCTTCCAATCTATCTTGGAGGGCCTGGAGGGGTCTGGGGACGATGCTTTGGAGGGTTCTCCCACGGGGGGGGGTCTGAAATGGCTTGTCTCGGGGGGTCCAGACCCCCTCCCTTTTATTACGAAATCTGGAGTACGTTGTCCTCGTCGGAGTCTCGGGTCCATGAGACGGTGTGGTCACCGCGCCGTGGGTAGGCGGCGGCCGGGGGGAGAAGTGAAAGCGGGCAAACCTTCTCGGAGGGCGGCGGGACTTCTCAGAAGCCCTCCGGTCTCTTGCTCTATACACCCTGCGAAATGCTTTAGAAATCATGGGTTAAGAAATTCATAGTCTCAGAACTTGAATCAAAAACCGAGAATGTCTATTCCAATCTTGGGATTTACATTGAAACATTAAGAATAATCGAGACTCTGGCCGAAAACTTGGGTTTTCTTGAGCATCGCCTAAGGTGTATATATGCTCTTCTCGTGTCTCAGGGGAGACCCCCAACAGCTCTCAGGACGCCCGAGGCTTTCCGGGCCTCGGAAAACAAGACCAAACAAGATTTCAAAGAAAGATTTGGCATGACCAAACAAGATTTCAAGAAACATCGGACGATCACCGAAGATCGCCCCCAGACTAGTTTTTTTGACTCTTCCTGGATACCTTTCCTGACCGAACCCCAAGCGGATTCCACATGGCCCCAAGAGAGGTCATTATGGACCCCTACACGACTCCCCAGCCCGATTCAAGCGAGCCGGCAAGACCGCCAAGATGAGGGGTCGGCGGATGTGGCGTAAGCCTATAGAATCTTTCCTGACTGAACCCGAGAGAGCTCGCCGCCGAAGCTGGGGCCGCCCGGGCCTTGGCTGGTCGCGGCCGCCGCTCTCCGCCCGGGGGCGGTGGCCGCCCGAGGCGGGCTCCGGGCCCGGTGGTCGGCGGCGCCCCCGAGGGGGGGGGGGACTCTTAGCAGAGGCTCCCCCAGACTGCCTACCTACCAGACCACCCCAACCCAACCCGAAGACCCGAATTTCGGGTGGGGGGGGGTAAGGGTTCCATACGTGTTTTTTCGATGTTCCCCGACACCCCCCCCTACTAGAAATCGAGGGTAAATCTGAGCCTTCGGGTTGGGTTGGGGTGGTTTGGTGGGTGGTGACAGACCCCCTCACGTTCCGAAAAAGTCCACGCGGGAGGTGTTTCGCTCATTTCGGCCTCTGGGGGCCCGCAGTGGCCCTCGGGACCGTCGAAAGACGACTCGGGATGCAAAACGGGTCCCGGGCAATGGGTCCGGACCGCTGGGGGCTTTTTAGGGGAACGAAGAATGTCATAAACATACCAACTCGGAGGTCTGCGCGGATTTCTCGGAGCGGCGCTGGACCCCCTCCCTGGCGGCGCCGAATCGCGCCAGGTGCGGCGCCGGAGGCGCCGCCAAGGGGGGGTCCAGCGCGGGTCCGAGAAATCCGCGCGGACCTCCGACTTCTTGTGTTGATGCCATAATCCTCGTTCCCCTGGAATTCGGTAGGCTCGTGCCATGTCGACCCCAGCATTGGTTCCCGGCACTGCGGGGATCGTTCCACCCTGAAGCATCGGCCGCTTCAGAAGTGTCCGCTCATTCAACGATGAGCCGATTCCGGTCGGTGGTGGCGCCCAACATTGAGCACTGGCGGCGGGGTCGCCGCCAGTCGACACGACACGATCATACCATAGATGGGGTCGAAGATTCGTGCCACATCGCGAATGCATCGCCGATGCATCGACGATGTATCGGCGACGTCGGCGGTGCATCGGTTGGCGACGCCACCGTGGAGAAAGTCGGGTTCCATGTCGAGCCGCGTCGCCGATTCATCGGCGATGCGGCGCGGCCCTCCGATCTCATCTGCTCCGATCCAATCTAGGACGCCTGAAGTAAGGAGGCAACTCATGGGAGGTCTTCGGCAAAAATGGTACGACTGGCGTCGGGAACATAGCGCGCGACATCGACTTCCGAAGGGCGCGCGATTCCGCGTGCGGCGATCGATCCCACCGCGGGGGCCCCTCCTGTGAACGACACCCCCCTTTCAGGACTTCTTCCCTGCACGCTATCCCCGAATTGGAGGGTACTCCAGATTTCGTAATAAAAGGGAGGGGGTCTGGACCCTCCAAGACAAGGCATTTCAGACCTCCCCCGTGGGAGAACCCTCCAAAACATTCCAGGGAGGTCTTTGTCAGAACGATTGCGCGCTAGGCAGCCCAGTTCAGGAGCCACTATAGCCGATTAGGCGGATGACGTATCGGGTTCTACCAGATCAAGCGGGCCTGAGACGAATTAGACAGGTTTGATCTGGATCAAGCGGGACTGAGCGAGACTCGGCCAGTTTTCGACTAGAGATCTACCAGCGCCGATTCTGAAAGTGCCCTCCCAGGGAGTTGCTTCCCCGAGGAGATCAAGAGGCGGATGGCCGTCTTGAAGGCGGCGGGGCTTCTCGGAAGCCCATCAGCCTTCTCAAAAACCATCTGGAGGAGGGAGGAGGGAGGAGGGAGGAGGGAGGAGGGAGGGAGGAGGGAGGAGGGAGGAGGGAGGAGGGAGGAGGGAGGAGGGAGGAGGGGACAAAGCTTATAACAGAAGGCCCGAGGCCCGGAAAGCCTTGTGCGACAGCCCGCTCCCTGCTGTTCTCCCCCCCAAGGGCGCGCCGCCGAGATGGATGGCCGGTGGCGCTCCCAACGCGGCCATCATCCGCTTTCGCGCACGCTCCTGCGGAGCCGTCGTTGCGCGCCTCCCGTGCCGCATCCGCGCGCGCACGGACTGGAAGGTGGCTGTCGCTCTTGCTGCGGCTGACTCCGCGGTCGATATCCACCACCTCCAAGAAGCAGTTCTTGACGACCAGCATCGTTCCGTTGGCCTGGCAGGGGCCTTGCTGCTTGGCGCCGCGACCGATGTGCATCAGAGCGCTCGTTCAAGACAGGGTAAACTGCACGGATAGTGAGAATCGGCCTGCGCATCCACCCATTCCTCTTCCTGCTCCTGTCGCTCCACCTGCCGCGCACGGACTCGCGCCTCCCTCCTCGCACTCCCCTCGGCGCCGAAACAATGACTTGCGATCAGCTGGGGGTCAAGCGATCAGATCCTCTTCCTCCTCCAAGTGAGAAGCAACGACAGGGGTGGACCGGCTCGGGGGGGGGGGGAACACCAAACTGGAATCGGTGACGCATCGCGGATGGATCGGCAATATGCCCCCGATCGTAACTCCGTACGCTGCTGGGCGGAGTGGGCTATCGGGACCCTACATCGGCGATCAATGGGCGACTCAGGGTCGATGCGCCACCCCGTGAGCCGATCTTCGCATGATGTTGACCCTGACATTCGATGATCGTTGATCGTTGCTCATTGTTGGGCGCTGTAGATTTCAGATCTCGCCGCCGAGGAGACGACAGGAGTGTCCCTAGGCACGAGTGACCTTTCATGCGCGGCCAAGGGGGGGCCCTTTGGGGACACCACCAGGCGCGCAGGCCGCTGCTGTCGCCTCGCCCTCCCCGCGCTCGGGGGGCCCCGTGGGAGGCCCGCGCCAAGGGTCGCTCGGGGCGAGAGGTCGCTCCTACGCCTCGTCGACTCTCCTCGCCCCCGTCGCCGGCGTCCTCCTCCGACCTGGGCGGGGCGCGAGTCTCACTATCGCCTGCAGCCTCGGAGAGGCGGACCCTCGCAGGCCTCCGCGGGGCGCGCGGCCGCCGAAGAGGGCTCGAGGCCGAGCCCCCGCGGCCGCGCGCCCTCGAGGAGCTGCGCGGAGAGCTCGAGCCGGCAGTGCGGGCAGGCGCGCAGCGGCACCCTCGTCTGCGACAGGCGGGGGGGGGGGGGAATCGTCCGATGCGCAGGGCCGCAGTCTCCGGCTTCTCGGGGCGGGGAGTGCCCACCGTCGAGTGGAGCCCCTCGCGCGAGGATCTCGAGTCGCCGGAGCTTGCCGACGGGTGGGGGCGTTTTCTGGTCCCGGGAGATGCGGCTGTGGACGTGGCGGCTGGAGAAGCTGCGGCATATTCTGGGCCAGGGTGGCACGCATAGAAACCCTCGACGGTCCGCGCGGGTTTCTTGGATCTGCCCTGGAGGCGCGCGCTTGGGCGCGAATCAATGGGGGGGGGCGATCAATGTGTGGGGGGGGGGGGGGGAGAAAGGTGTCCTTGTCGGGCTACAGGCCGCCTTTGAGGCCCGAAAGGGCCCCTTCAGGGGCCCTGACGCGCCCCCAGAGGCGCGCGCCAGGGGCGGCGCCGGAGGCGCGCTGCGAGGGGGTCCAGCGCAGATTTATGGAACCCGCCCGGGGGTCCAGCGCGAATCCAAGAAACCCGCGCGGAGCGCCGAAAGTGTATGTTAATGTGCTATGTTCTTGTTCGATGCATTTTGTTCGCCACAGACCCGTTGCTGTTTATGCTTATTCAGCTTGGGTTCTTCGATGGAGGACATGCAGGCAGCGCTGGCCTTCACCTGGGCACCTCTCTGAACCAAGGAGGCGCAGCGGTGCTTTGGAGCGGAAGCGAGGATGCCAGCAGCAGTTTTCGTGGCCGCCCCTCTCTCGATGCAGTTCCTTCCCCAGGCTCCGACAAAAACTCGGATCGGCCGATTTGGGGCGACTTCCGGCCTCTCCCTCAACGGGCCCCGGCGCCGTTAAAAAACGGTTCAGCGCTACAACAACTGGCCTCAAGGAGGTGGTCCAGACCTCCAAATGCCCGCGCACGGAAAACATTGAAAGCAGCCAGATGCCTGAGGAGGTGGGACGAACAGTTCAGGCCGCTGGAGATCAGCAGTGGCGCAGAGGCGCGGAGTTGCTGCCGCCCAAGGACTGGGCGAATATAGCAAGAAAGCTAAGTGGCAACTCGTAGGAGCCTTATACACTTTCGTGTCGGCTCTTGCGCGTCGACGCTGCGCCGACGTTGACCGACGCTTAATCGGCTCTATAGCACCGATTACCTTACGCTGGGGCGCGCTCGTGTAGTCCAAAAGCAAAGCTACGAATGCACACGCGGCTCATGTGACTCTTGCTACCGAAAGACAGCGCCGGCTCTTGGTTAACGAAAGAAGCGGAAGCTGAAGCTTCGACACAACGACGGAAGTGGGCATGGCCTTACGGATGCCATGACAATGGGCACCTTTTCAATCAGATCATGCAATTAGGTTTCAAACGTTTGAAAACAAGTTATGCACTTTCTTGTCAGCGGCGAGACGGCGAACTCCGCTTCAGCGAGAAGCTAGAAAAAAGGGCAGTATCCAGCGAATTGGCCGACAGGCATAGCGAGGGGGGGACGGGCAAAAGGAATAACAACCAGTTCTAAGCATTTTGAAAGCAGGTTTAAACCATGCTTAAGACATGTTCTATGGAAATTATGTGGCAGCATGCTTCCTCTCCAGTGATCGTCTGCCACAAGCACGGCCTGCACAACACCTGCCGGAGCTGGGTCGGCCGCGGAGAAGCAGGAGCGCGCCGCACATGACCCGAAGGGCCGCAGATCCAGGCCCGTTGGGGGCCCCCAGAGGACGAACCCTTTTGTCTCGTCGGCGGCGAGGCGGCGAACTCCGCTCCAGCGAGACGTTAGAAAGGGGCACTAACTAGCGAATTGGCCGGCGAGCAAGGAGGGGGGGACGGCCGAGAGGAGGAAGGCACACTCAGACACCAGAGGACGAACACAAGGCTGGACCTAAACGTTGATGTTCGTCTTGGTTTCGTTTTGCCTTTTCGTTTTGCTCTGCCTGCTTTCCTGTACCTCCTTGCCAAAATGATAATCAAACCAAAGCCAAAGTCCAGCAAAACAGCGTTTGAGGTCCAGCACTGGAAGAACATAGCGCCAAAACCGCCCGCTCCAAATCTTTCGGAGCCTCGGAGCCCTGGGGATGACGGGGGAGAGGGTACCTAGAGCTGAGGAGAACGAGTCGGGGACCTACTGACCCGGGTCCATCCAGACCCGAGTCAGTCAGGCAGGGCAGGATCCGGCGAGATCCTGCAGGCTCCTGCAGGATCCTGCACCCAAGCCCGGTCGGTGCACCCCTGGCACCGCAGGATCCTGCAAAGCCCGGCGCTCTGGCTGACTCCCGTTTGCATTTGACCTGACCCCCGCCGCAAGGCTCCCGAGCGAGGAACGAGCGACGGCGCCTCCAAAGGGTGGTTTGTGAAATGTTTGGCTTGCAATCGGCACCCTGGGGAACATCCTGGGGGTGCACCCTGGGGGGCGCGCGGGGACCTCGATAGAGTTCTCCCGCGCCCCGAGGAGGCCCCACGAGGATAGCGCCGTGCCCCACAGGCCCCAACGGTGCCGATCGCGAACCACACCCCGCCGTAACCATACCTGCTGCAGTCGCCGAGAGGGGCGCACGCCGGGCGGCAGGGGGCACACCGCACGGGACGGGAGCGGAAACGGCGGCGGCGGGGGCGCCCCCCGACGCGGCGTGGCGCATGCCTCGAGAGCCACCAGGGCGACCCTCGTCACTCCGCAGGAGCCGTGGCCGTGTTGGGCAGCGGCCGCGGCGGCCGCGGCGGCGGCGGCCGCCTCCCAGCGGCAGCGGCGGCGCGGCGGTCCTGGAGGCCGTGGCCGCCGTCGGGGCGGCGGCCGCGGCGGCCGCGGCCCCGCCGACGCCGCCGCCGCCGCCGCTGCAGCCTCCGTGGGCCGCGCGGGCGGGCGGCCGCCGCGCGGCCGCCGCCAGGCTGCCCGGCCGCGGCGGCGCGGGCGCGGCGGGCGGCGCGGCGGCAGGCGCGGCGGCCCCCGCGGGAGCCGCGGGCGGCGGGGCGGCGGCTGGCTGGGCGGGGACCGCCTGGTGAGGCGGGGAGGGCGGGTCGGGGGCGGCGGGCGCCGGAGCCTCCGAGGAGCGGCGGCAACGGCTGGGGGTGGGAGGGGGGGGGGGTCGTGGAGGGCCGAAGAGGAAGCTCGAGGAGGGTCGAGGTACCGAGGAGGGGAGGAGGAGGAGGAGGAGGAGGAGGAGGAGGAGGAGGAGGAGGAGGAGGAGGAGGAGGAGGAGGAGCTGCTGTGTAAACTGATGGTACAGCTGAAAAATAAGTATCCGTATGTATGCTTATATAAGCATATGTATAAAAATATATGCTAGAATCATCGCGCGCTTCGCGCGCGCTCAATTTCTAGCTAGGCTTGATCGGCTAACTCATGTAATATCATGTTGGTCGCTTCTTGCGTCCATAAACTCCCTTGGATGCCCTGCGCAAGCCTCGGAATCGCATAGAAGGGGAAGTGCGGAAACGAAGAACACATGCATTTCTTTTATAGATATTCGACGATTTGGGGTCCTCATATGTTTCCTGGGTCCTTTTTTGGGAGGTGAGGGGGGTCTGAACTGTGGTTCGCTGTTGTGCAGGAGTAGACTGGGGGCCAACCTTGGACACAAAAAAAACATGTGGGATGTCCAATGTTTGTCCTGTCCCTCGGCGCTGTTCGGCGCTGTTTTTGGTTGGGCCTCGCGGGTTTGGGTAGCCGGGCCCCTCAGGGGTGTGGAATCTTCTGGACCCCCTGGGGCTTTTTGGAGGCCCCCTAGGAGCGTGGAGAGCCGTCCAAACGGTGTTTTGGACTGCTTGGGAGCGTCTTGGGCTGTTGTTTACGTTCTGGGAGCTTCTTGGGGTCGTCATGGGCTGTCCTTCGGCGTCATGGGGTCTCCACAAGAAGCCGGGAGGCTCGGTACCGGCCAGATGTCAGGGGATGTGTAGATCCCCCGGGAAGGAGTTTTATTTTTTATAAAAAAAAGGAATTCTGGGATATTTTTTTCCCAGAATTCCCGATCTTTGAGGGTGGCAGCGGGAAAACGCGAGAAGGCGAAACAGATTGGAACAACCACTTGAAATCAACGCGTTTACCCTCTTTGGGCTCTCTCGGGACGGCTCTCGCAGCTCTCTTGGGCTGTTCTTGGAACCTCATCGGTTTTTTTTTTGGTTCGGGAGTGTGCTGGGTGTTTCTGCGTGATCCCGGGGGCCTCTGCGTGATCCCGGAGGCCTCTCGGAAATCTCTGAAGCCTCCTGCTCCTACTCTTGGGCCCATATTGGGCCTGTTCTGGGGTGGTCTGGGGCTGTCCTTGGCGCCTCTTCGGCAGTCCTGGAGCCTTCTTGGCCCGTCTCGGGGCCGTCCTGAGGGTCTCTTGGGTGGTCTTAGGGGCGGTCTTGGGAACCTCTTCGGCGCTCTTGGACTGTTGGATGCTCGAAAACGCGAGTAGCCAAAAACATGTAAACAACACTTCGGGTCCCCGGACGCCTCCCGGACCTCTCTTGGTGTCTCTTGGAGGCCACCTAGGAGCCTCGAAAGCCGTCGGAAGGCTGACTTGGGCTGCTTGGGAGCGTCTTGGGCCATCCTTTGCGCATTGTTGAGGCTCCTGGGAGGCGTCTTGGGCCCTCCTGGACCGCTGCGGAGGCTCCTCGGAAAAGGCGGGGGGGGCCGCACTGGAAGCGTTCCCGAGATGCCACGGGGAGGTGTCGCACCCGGGGCCAGGGGGGGCGGTATTGTTTTATGTATTGATTATGTAAATAATTATACACATATAGATGCAATTATATGTATATGCACGTATACATATACATATATCTGTATTTGTATATATGTATGCATGCATGCATGCATGTATGTATGTAAGTACATCTATATATATATATATATATATATATATATATATATATATATATGCTAGAACCGCGCGCGCTTCGCGCGCGCTTCGGTTCTAGTCACTCCCGCGACCACGCTCACCACCGCCAATGCCGCTATGGCTGGCACCGCCCTTTCCGCCATCACCGCGGTCACGACAACTTCCGATTCCATGTCCATTCTG